TTTTTCCCAGCCTGTGACTTCCCTTTTTACCATGTTGCACAAGTTTTGGATGTGCATAGAGATTTGATTCTTAGAAGGTCCCATTCTTCTGTTTTATCCTCTGCTGGTTGTAGATTTTCCAGGATGCTTGGAAGACTGTTTATGTTGTGGATTAGGACTTCTAGAGTTCTTCCAAGCTTTTATTTAATGAAGTTTATAGTTCTTGGTTTTAGTACTAGGTCCAGGATCCATCTTGAGTTGGTTTTTGTGTATGGAGTGAGATGTAGATCTTGCTTGAGTTTTCTGCAGATAGTTTTCCAGTTTTGCCAACACCATTTGTTAAAAAGGCTGTCGATTCCCCACTTAACTGATTTCATCTTCTTGTCAAAAAATCAGTTGACCATGGGTAGATGGGCTGATTTCCAGGTTTTCAATTTTATTCCATATTCCATTGATCTATGTGTCTGTCACTGTACCAGTACCATGCTGTCTTGACACCATCAGGGAGTGAGATGCCTCCTACCTTGTTTCTATTTTTAAGGAGTGCTTTGCTTATTCAGGGTTTCTTTCCATTTCAAATAATACTGGAGATTGCCCTTTCTATCTCTTTCAAGAATGGGATTGGTATTTGTATTGGGATTGCATTGAATGTATAGATTGCCTTTGGTAGTATTGTCATTTTCACAATACTGAGTCTTCCTATACATGCACAAGGGATATTCTTCCATGTCTCAATGTCTCTCTTTGTTTCTTTTAGTAATGTTTTGTAATTTTCTTTGAATAGATTCTTTGTGCTTCTGGTTAGGTTTACTTCCAAGTATTTAATCTTATGATTATCTTTGTGAAGGGTATTGTTTTTCTTAACTCCAGACATTTTAAAAACAGTTTACAATTCAAGTGGGGTATACTTAGTATCATATTTTTCTTCTCATGGATTTATTTTTATTTAGATTACTTGGTAGATTTATTAAAATTAAATGAACTGATGCAGACGGAGTACTTAACTGTGATTGTTGTTGAGTAACTTCCAGTTAGAAATGACCCATCACTGACTCTCCAGTGGGTTTTCAGAGGCAGTTAATTAATGGCATGGGAGGAGATTACTCATCCTTCTCCCTTGGAGCAGCTGCTGGATTTGAACTCTGTGCCTTCCGGATTGCAGCACAGCTTCTTACCAGTAGGACCCCAGAGTTCTCTTGTCATTGCTCTTAGGTGCCATTGAGTCGAGTTTGACTCATAGTGACTTTATGAACAGCCAACCTGAAACTTGTCCTACACTGTGCCATCTTTGTCATCTTTGAGACACTAGAGCCCATGGCAGAAGTCAGTCTATCTTGTTGGGGGTCTTCCTTCTTTTGCTGACCCTCCATCTTTCCAAAGAATAACCTCGCTGATCTATAAGTCCAAAGTATGAGAGACGAAGCTTCATTATCCTTGCCTCCAAGGAGCACTCTGGCCATACCCTTTTCAGGACTTAACTATCATTTCTTTTGGCGGTCCACGTATATTCAGAACTCTACTCCTGCACTACAACTCAAATTCTTCTTCTGTCATCCTTATTCATTGTTCAGCTCTCTGATGCCTAGCAGATAATTAAGACTGTGGTCTGAATCAGGCATGTCTTAAAACACTAAACTTTTTTCTTTTACTCTTCAAAGAGAAGAGCAAACTGGGGGGCAGGGGGTGGGCAGGGGAAAAGTGCAACAATGAGTGAATG